AATCTATGTTTTTGTGGGGACTGAGTGTGATGTATTTGATATGTGGCTTTCAGATGTGGCTGTAACCAAACCATCACAGACGCACATGCCCTAAAGTCATACAAGCAATCCCACTATCTGCCACCTGCCTAACAGTATTACTTTGTGAATAATGTGAGAGAGTACGCATACCTCTAAAGGCAAATGAGCCTGCACTGTATGCTGTATATGTTAATCATTTTAGCAAATTAACAAGCTTTGTAGATTGTCTCTAATCTCAGTCTTGTGTCATCTTTTTTGTGATCACTTCCTCTGAGTATTTAAAGAAAAGCAATTTAAGATCAAAAGATATAGAGCCAAGAATACCTGTAGAGCCGTAAAAAAAAAAAGAAGCAAGGCAGGAGAGAGTAAATAAAAGTAGCCAGAGATTTTATGGAGTTTGAAAGTGTTTTGTTTCATGCCAAAGTGAGGAGTAGTATTGCACACGGATACGAGGGATCACCAGCGTGACCCGGGAGGGTGGCTGCACTGCCACAGCTTTAGCCTGGCTTTCGGCTTCAATGACAGCCCTTCAGGAAGGAGATATTGAAAGAGGGGGAAATGTGGGGGAGAAAAGAAGATCTGCAGCTTCTTTCTGAACCCGGTCTCTCCCACTGATCCAAAATCAGAGAGCATGCAGACCTGTAGAGAAGCAGCTGGGTGTGACGAGCTCCTTCCTGCAACTGCACCCCGAGTCTGTTTAGCAGTCTCTCCATCTGTTGCTCTCTCCTGGGGAAGGGAGCAGAGAGAGAGAGAGAGAGAGAAGCAGAATAGGTGCATTAGAAGCCTCCCGTTTCCCCGGCTTTTGAGCCTGCGATACAGGCAGAGGATATTTGTTTGGTGTCGAGGAGATCTGTGCTCTGAGACTTGGCTAGAACTTCCAGTTGATCTTAGCGTTGCGCTTTGGTGGACAGATGCTCATCCTCACTTGTGCTTCTTTTCTTTTTTTCTCCCTTGTCGGCCCAAGAGAAAAGAAATCTGAAACCACCTGCCTCCCCCTCGCCCTCCCTAACTCCCTCCCCTCTTCTAGCTCCTTCTCCCCCAAGGACAGCCCACTGTCTGCCCTGAGGGCTGTTTATCTATGGGGGGGAGATGAGGAGGAGAGGGTAGAAGGGGGGGGACGGGTTTGTTTCGTTTCGGCCGTCAACAATGAACCTCAGTCAGTGCTGACGGATTACTCCAACATATGGTACCCACCTGTCTCTTTTTCTCTCCCTCTGTCCCCCCCCTCCTCCCTTTCCTTAGCTATGCCTCACTGTTTAGATTTCTTCGCTTATTCCTGCGCTCCCTCTCCCTGTGTCACCCAAACACACTGGGTGGATTAGAGGCCAGATTCATCTCACACACAGACCTGTTTGCTTTAGCAACCTGAGCCAGGCACACACACACACACACACACACACACACACACACACACACACACACACACACAAATCGAACTAAAGAGGCCCATTTGTTACCTTTTTGTTCTTATTTGAGATTAAACTCTTAATCACACATCTCAGTCCTGTTATGTGGAGCGGAGTCTTTATTCACAGATGAATGCTTAAATACACACGCACACACAATAACAGCTGAGCCTCTGGATCATCATACACATTTAGTGAAATTAAATTTCTGCCATACTCATCTAATGGATTTCCGAACCGGCTCCCCGACCTTCTGCCCCTCACAACAAAACGCAGTTGTCAGCCATTTTTTTGGGAATCTGTTTGAGAGAAAGTAGCCATTGGTCTGCGCTTGTGTGTGCGTGCATGCATGTGTGTGCGTGCCTGACCCTGTTGAATTAAAAAATGCACTGTTATTAAAGGCTGTGTCAGAGGCGATGATTTACAGAGGGGAGCGATGACAAGTCAGAAGAACTCACACACTGCACTGACACACACACTTGCTCGCTCACTCTGTGCTCTCAGGCCTCTAAGCTGAGCGGTGACCTCCTCACCCCTCCTTCCCCTTCCTCCCACCCCCTCCCTCCCCCCCTCACTCTAATAAAACCTGTCTGACACCACTGATATGTGCATATGTGTGTGCGTGTTTCTGTATGTGTGTGTGCTCCATGGCAGCACAAAGACTCTGTTGTTGGGCCTCCCTCTTAGGCCTCCCTCATATTTTCTTTAAAGGTGCAGCGCGCCCCCAAGAATGCCACAGGGGGAAAGGGGAGTTAGGGGGGAATCTTGGAAGAGCTGGTGTGAGCGTGTGTGTGTGTGTGTGTGGGTGGGTGGATTGGACAAGGAGTGGGTGGAGGAGTGGGGGTCCCATATGAAGAGTATGAAGAGTAGAAATAAAAGAAAAGGGTCAAAAAAGAGAAGTGCTTCTCAACCAAGTAGACTTAAGAGGGTTTGGCTCTGATCCCTGCTGGCATTTGTGTATGCAAGTGTGTGTTTAACCAGTGTGTGTGTGTGCACGTCCAACCTGTAAAGGGTTTTCTTCATCAATATATAAAATGACAGATATTGCAATGCCCACCAATGCAGCAGATGCAGAAACAGAAGTTTTGTTCTCATAATCTTGCTCTTTCACTCCTGCTTGTCTAACTGGAAAGACAGAAAAAAACTGTGCCTCATTAACACCTGATTTATTGATCTTTTTCTCTATGAATTGTCCCAACACTGCCAATACTGGGAATTAAGTTAAGATATTGTCTGTTCAAGCAGTATTTGATTTGTTTTTTGTTACATTTGAAATAATTCTGCCTGCTTGGTTTCGATTCGCAAATGCATGGTAAAAGTACATTTGATCACACAATCATACCTTGTGATTTTCCTTTTTTTTTTTTAAATGCATCCCACATACCACAGGGGAAAAAGGTGAAAAAATTGGGATGAACTAACTTCACCTGAGGTATGATGACATTTTGTGACATCAGTTTTGAAATGAGGTCAGTTGCCATAGTCCAAGCTAAAGGTTCAAGTTCTAAAAAGTTATTTAGCTCCTTAAATCGTCACTTGGCAACAAAAATGAGCCATGTTCAAATTCTAGTAAAAATATATACACAGACTGTGTTATGAAATATGCATATAATGAACAAGTTTGGATTCTTATATATAAGCCATGCCTCACTAGTTGTGTCTAGCACAAAAATCCTAAAATGATGAAACTCCAGACTTAAAAACACTAATCCACAAACAAATAAATTGCATCACTGAGGCTGCATCCATTATGTATAAACAATCCAAGGCTTTCCCAAGTAAAATAAACTGTTTAAGCTTCTAGCTCTACTCTATCTTGATATGTGAAGAAACAAAATGTGAAATAGCTTATGTTTGTATGATAACCTACAGTTTAATAAGAGAAATGCAAGGTTTTTACATCAGTCCTGGAAAAATGTCAATGCCAGAATCTAATGTCATTGTCGATAAATTAGCGAGGGAATTGGAGAATGAAAGCGCAATCAAGTTTTGTTATAGTTTAGTTTCAAACAAATGTGATTTCAAGAGTGCTATCCTCAAAGCAGACCAAATCAAACTCTTAAGGGACACTTCTCCCCGCCAATGATAATTGGGTTTTTTTTGTTTTTACAATTCAAAAGAGCATTCAAACATTTGATATACTACGAGTAAATTTAAGCAAATTGCCTATTAGCTGTGGCTCGCTTTCATAAGCCAGTCTTAAAATCCAAGACTCATTTTCCAAAGTAAAGGAAAACGTAGGGAGGAACACTGTTTTTTTTTCCTCCATTATTTCCTATTCCTTCTTGTCTTTCAAATACACTCGCACATCCATGGATAGAGGCATAGGAGAGGAGACAGGCATCACCTCTGCTTGGTTGTAGCGTTTATGAAAGCCATAAATGGCTCTTTAATATAGTGGTAATCAGGGTGGTAATTTGGGTGGAATTGTCCCTTATTGTTGCCAGACATGCCTCCTCAACTCCTGCCAACATACACTCATGCTCACACACATAGACAAACACACACACTCACTCGGTCTTGGGCAGACAGGGTGTTCAATCAGTAATTCACACCACATGCCAACAAACTGGGCGGTTGTGTTTGTCTATGTGTGTATGTGTGTGTGTCTTTGCCTGCTTTAATGTTGAGGTCAAACCAGTAAAGGGAGGGGGTTCCCAAGATTTTTGTCAAAGTGTTAAAATTCATGTGCGTGCGTGTGTGTGTGTGTGTGTGTGTTTTAATTGCGGTCTCAGCAAAAGTAGCAAGTGTGCTTGATACAGATGGTTTTCATCACTCTGACTGCACACAGAACTTCTCTCTGTTTCTGTCTCAGTCTAATCTCTCCTTTGTGTAAGTAATTAAACATTACTTAATGTACCCAAGCTTCTAATTTGTCAATTCGTTGAATAAGTGACAGCTTTGTTTCACAGAGTTCCACTTTTCAGCAGTTGTGAAATGATGGAGTCATGCACATTTCTGCTGCTGTGTAGTTGAGTAAGAGCTTCCATGGTGAAGAACATCCTTCACTCAGGCCGTTGATTTGCCACACACACACACGCGCACACACACACACACACACACACACGCTCACACACAGGGACTTTCATAAATCAATATTTACTGAGGAACCTTTCCCTTTTGAGTCAGAGGAAGCAAATGTGCATCCTGCTGTCTCCCCTCTCAAACCCTCTGTCATGAGGTTGTGCTAGCATTCGTGTGCGCGAGTGTGTGTGTGTGTGTGTGTGTGTGTGTGTGTGCGTGTGTTTATATGTGACTGTGCGCTTACTGTAAGTGCAAGGCAGGTTTTGTTTTGTGAGATGGGTGTTTTCTTATTTTGTTTTGGGGGGAGTTCAAACATTCCAACAAAAAAATCCCGTTCCTCAGGGACAGATTTTTCCTGATGATTGAGTGCCAAGCAACACAGCGAAGAAAAGACGGAACATTCGATGACACGAAAGCAGTTCATAAAATAGACGGTGAGAGGGAAAAGGTAGCAGGAAGAAAATGATTTGCTTAGAAAGCATGGACGTGATGGCTTAGCTTGCAGTATTGGACGGATGAATCGGCAACACTCAAGGGCAGCATGAAAGAATGGAAACAGAGCTAGTGAGCGATGGTGTCACCGGCTCACATGGAAAGCACTGGAGGGCAGACAAGAGAGAAACGGGAAAAGGAGGAGGAATGAGAAGGTGGGAGGAGGTTAGTCACAGCTCTTTAGGGCACATCAGGGCATACAGGGCCTTACATCACTGTGACACACACAAACAAAGTCCAGCGGGCACACATGAAGATACGCTGACATACTTCTGCCTCAGAGGATATGGAAAACCCACTTTGGATCCTTCTTTGTGAATAGAGAAGGAAGAAGAGGAGAAGGAAAGAGATGTAAAGGGGATAGAAATGCAGGGGGGGGAGGAAAGCAAACAGTGAAAGTAAAAGTTTGGAATCAAAGTGAGTTTTTGAGTTAGATTCATTTAGACACATTCAGGCAGACAGATACACACTTTCAAGCATGACTGACAGACTTAGTAGAGAGTGTCGGTTATTGAGAGAGCTTGGTAAATGTAGTGGATATTTTTATAGCAGTGGTACACGCTCGTTTAAAGCTTCTCACATGGAATTTTCTCTTCACTTTTGAATGTGAGGTACAACTTTCAAAGGATATTAATTTTATCACCAACTATAAATATATGGAATTATACATTTTGCAAAATTTGCTTCTTGTGTATTAAATATCCAATCGTCTCTCTTTCTTTTCACAGGCACTCCAGGCAGCCAGACAGTTCCTCCTCCAGCAGGCCTCGGGTCTCAACTCCCCTGGCAGCAACGAGGTCAAACAGAGCCCTGTCCAGGTCAGAGCAGACACACACACACAAACTCTGAGGTCTCCTTATCAGACTGTTTATTACTGACATTGTCGTTTTTTAAGCAACCTGCCACGTCGCCTGCACAGTGCGATGTAGGCTCGTGCTTTTCTTTCCCCCTTCTCACTCTCTGCCTACATGTATCTCTACCTCGCTCCCTGTGAGGGCATGTGTGTCTGCATACGTGATTGTTAGTGTGTGAGTGAATGAGGCCTTTGTATTTTCTGGGTTGTGAGTTTCTGAGTTGAATTCCACAGTAAGCAGAGAGAGGGGTTAGCTGGAGTGCAGGATCCTACTGAAAGACACTTGAGGAGGCTACAAGCGCACATACACAGGCAGGACTCATGCATCATTACTGTTTGTGTGTGTTGATACACATCACGGAAGAAATTACACTTGGCAGGTCTTTACGATCGTATATAAGGCTGTCTAACTGCAAAATAGTTTTTTTTAGCTGTTTCTCACATCAATTTAGAGTGGCCACAGTTCTATGTTAGTAGCTAGCAGCCTTCTTACTGCGTTTCTCTTCTAATTAGCATCTCACTGATAAACAGGAAGCTGGATTACACCATAATGGGACCGAGGACAGTGATTTAGGACAGTTCAATTTAAATATATGGCACAAGAGGTGAAAGGAGGATTTTATGTGTTGTGCCTGAAGCGAGGAAGGTGCTTATGGTGAGTACTTCAGGTTTATGTAGAAAGGTAATGATGTTATGCTTAAAAGTATACAGAATTAATTTAACTGGATAAGTGAAATATAGAACACATAGCAGAAGTTCTCTGCTATGTGGATTAGAAAAAAAATGTATCCAGCATGATAGACCTCATTTTTCCATAAAGGTTTAACCTATTTGACCGCAACAACAAGAAGTTGTATCAAAAAGTAAAAGCTTTGCGTCAATTATGGGCCGCTGTGTGCTCCAACACAGGACAGAAAAAGGATATCGCAAGCAACTGAGATATCATGATCTGACATTAGAAAAGTGAAGACTATGAAGTATCATTGACAAGTTCATCTTTAACAGAGGAGTTGTGTGTCTATGACAAAATGGCCTCTAGATAGTGTAGAAAAGCCTGCTTATCACTTTATATGTCAAAAATGCAGTGCCACTGAAAAGTTAGATTTCACAGACCGCACTTTAATTACATCCCGAAGTTAAACTGAGTTTGCATTATTTACTGACACTTTCAGAGATTAAAAAGTGCTTCAAACAATAATATATATATAAATGTCTTTCAGTTGCGGAGATTACATTAAACTGAAAGTCAGCCCAAAAGGCAGCTCATGTGGAATAAATTCCTAACACTGCTTTGGTGAAGACTTTACACTGGGGACAAGTTCATCTTTAAGGGAGGAGTTGTGTGTCTATGAACAAGCATTTACACATGAACAAGGCAAAATGCAGGTCAAACATGCATTCATCTGACCTCCTTCATAGTCACATCTCTTACATGGAATAAGTGTAACCTTCCCCCTCTTTCTCAAATACACATACAAACGCGGCTCTCCCCCTCCTCCACTCTCTCCATCTCTGTCTTGTTTGTCCTGTTTGTTGAGGCCTGACCTGGCTAGCCTCTCTATACTCTCCAGAGCACCCGTGCTACATCTCTGTTGTCTGGGCTGTCAGCTCACATGGTCCCACACATACTATCAACCCGGACACACAAACACAGTTGGATTTGCATTTCTCTGCAGGCGTGTGTGTGTGTGTGTGCGTGGATCCTCAGTCTGTCCCAAACCATACTCAGGCACCAGAGCACAAAGTCTTTGCTCGTTGTTGCTTGTGTACCTGTGGAAAGCATAGCACTTTAATTGTTTGTCACTCTTTATGACGTAAACCTGCTAACTAAGGTGGTTGATGGACGTTCCCTAATTACTATAATTTTCAGCTTTATGTTCACTTTTAAATCGCGGCAACAGTTTTTCTCAAGAAGAAGGTGAGTGAATGTTTGAGAACATTAATGGGGTAATTTTAAAGGTGACAGTAAGGCACAGTGCAGTGGCTCACATCAGGCACAAAATGGCCGTCCTCAGGTCGGCTCCTGCTGGGCTGCTCTCACACATGCAAATGAGCCTCAGCCAATAATGAGATCTTTAGGAGCTCGATAATTAGATTTTTCCCTTCTCTCTGAGGGAGAACGGCAAAGGCAGACAGAGTGAGCGGAAAGACTTCTTTTCACGTCTTGACTCCTCTGGAGAAACCTCAGTATACACTGACAAGCCCCCACCTACTATTCTATACCACCCCTGCCCCCCATCCCCCAGCGCCATTCCCCCATCATATTTCTTTTCTTTATTTATAATAGAGGGGAGGATCTAAGTGTAGAGCAAAAGAAACTCGGAGATTGTATCTGATTTTGGATTGGTGGGATGGTTTCTGTGTTTGTCTGGCTGTGTAAGATGGTATCAGTCTACTTTGTGTGTATATGTGTGTGTGTGTCACACTGTTGTATCTCAAGTTCAGGAGAAACCTGACAGTATCTCAAGTCTCCAGGCGAGAATTTGCGGGGTAAAAAATACTCTACAATAAAACTACTGTGTAAAATAAAATAAGAGGTGATTGTTTGTCAGCCATTAGTAATAAATACAAGTGGATGCACACCAGAAAAAATGTGGCTAAAAAATGAAGTGTCTTCAAATAATAGCCTGAAATTTTAAACAAACATTAACCAATTTTTATTTCTGGTTTTCTGTTCTCTCATATTTAAATTAATTTCTTCCACATTGTTAAATTGAATCTCTCTTGAAACAGGTACAAACTGACCACACAAACAGCATGTCGGTGTGCTTGAAGGGATAACTTACCCTCACTGGAATTTGGATAATTCACACTTTTGATGTGTGTTTGTCGTAGGTGTTGGACATAATTGGCCACTGTTACCTTAATTGCTTGTGGCACGAGTGCTACTGAGAGAACTGGTGGGCACACAGCTGGCAGACAGAGTGGCAATTGGCGGATTACCCAGCATGATACGTAGCGGGCCTCTGTGACCTGCCACACGTTCTCTACCATGTACACACTTGGCACAGGCTCACACACTGTGTGGGCACAGGCACACACATATGAACCTCTTGGCAGACACACGTCTGGCACACTTAACACGCCAGCATTTGGCATGCAGGCATGCAGCTTGGCAGAGGCCCATATGTATGTAATTGAATAGTGCAGTGTCCTGTTTTCATGTTTTATTGAGGAGCTCGTTTAATTAGGAAAAAATGAAAAGACTCATTAGAGATATGTTAATTAGCTTGGCTGCCAGCTCTCTGGAGAGGGCTGACACTGGAGCGGTGGAATGGAGGAAGAGAAAAGCCATGGAGGATAGGTGAGAGGACTAAACGGAGTCACTCTCAAAAATGTGACACGACTGAATTATAATCCACTGCATTTATTTTCCGTATTTGCTCAAGAAAACAAAAAATACGGACATTTCAAAGTCTTATGAGGTTTCAGTAAGGCATGGGGGAAGTTGAGTGTCAAACTCTGCAAAGCTGAGGCCTTCGCTTTTTCTCTTCTATTTTCTTGTTTTCGCCGAAGCACTCCTTTTGTCCACTCAATGAAAGTGCTTAGTTGGCAGTTTCTCTTATTGGATGTGGAGAGAATTGTGGCTGTGCATGCAGGTTAGTGTGTACGTATGTGTGTGCTGGAGGGTGGTATGAGATCCTGACAGTTTGTGAAGTGTGTATGAGGGCAGGCTGAGCAGCCAGTGAATTGGGTTCGGCTCCGGACCGAGGGCTGGACAGACAGACGAAGAGGATGGAGAGGAAAGGTTTGGGTCTGGCCACTCAAGTGTGAAAGTCTTATTTTGTGATTTGAAACATGAGTGAAATCAGTAATGAAATATGGTCGATAACAGCCTCTCACACTTCCCAATGAACTGCCCTGACTGTGTGTGTGTCTGTGTGTTTCTTGAAAAGTGTTGTCATTTTTATTCTGAAGCACTGGGGCGTTAGATGGAGAAAGGCAAGTGGAGGAGGAGGTTTGGGAGGAAGGGGAGGGGGATTATCCACTTGAACTTACTGGCCTTTCTCTGTCCTCTCTTAGGTTCTTTTCTCTTCTTTTTTTCATTTGTCTGGTCCCTGTCAAGGAGAGCTTCATTTTTATGTTCTTCCAGCTCTGTACTGTCAGCGTCAGTGGTTTTTAGGACAAGTCATACAGTAGATCCAGACCCAACATATCTGTTCCCACTTTCTGGCCATGCTGTGTGCTGTAGATTAACCAGTTAAAAGACAAAAAGATTTACAAAAACATCATGACTATTACAAATATAAGACAATTACACAATTACATTTTTTACTTGTCACATTGAGTTACCCTGTAACAGTATTAGCTTCATAAAACTTAGCCTCTTCAGGGACTTTGACTTTCTCAGAGACCTTTCAAATGGGCAAATGTTAAGATACAGCAGGCTCGAGGGTTGAATAGCTGAAGTTGAACAAAAAAATGTGAAAAGCTTAAATCTTCCTTTACAGTTACATGAATATAAACCATTGTTGCATGAATAAGAATGAATATTTGATTAGCTGAGGAAACACAACCTAATTCGTTAGCATTCTAAAAGAGCAAAAATACTATCACATTGTCTCTTTCTTTAATAGCAAAAATAATAGTAAAACGCCTTTCATCTGGATGAAATGTCATTTTCTGATATGTTTAGCTGATTAAGGCCAGAAAGAAATTCTGAGTAGTTCTGTCGATGAAATATTGGAAATTTTTCAAAGGCTGTATGTAGAATTATATAAAATTAGATTTAAATATAGTGTTATCCTAAGCTAAGAATGCATAAAGGCAGATATTGGATAAAAACAGCAACTGCAACAGAAACATTACTCAGCAAAATAGTTTGATGTCTGAAGCTGTAAATTGTACATATCATCCTCGACCCCACCAGGCTTCGCTCATCAGTTTCCCCCAAAATAATGTGGCCCCTGGCCCTGCCTCGGAGTAGCTGGAGGAGGGGTACTCACCACACACAAAGGAACCTTTTTACTTCCACTGAAGGCCTGGCTCTCAGCCCCAAACAACACTCAGCACAGTGGGCACTCCTTCCATTTCTCTGTTTGGCTCAAAAGCTTTTCTCTACTGTCCTCCGCTTCTCACCCTCCACCCCGAACCCCACCCCATTCTCACCCTCTCATTTCTTGGTGTGATGAGCAGGGGGCCGCTGTTTACCTGGAGCCGGGGGGTACTAAGAGATGGAGAGAGCGATAGCGATGACGATAGCTGGGGAATAAACAAATCCTGAATCAACAAGATTGTTTACACATCAAGAAGCTGCACAGCCCCGACACAGACCGACACAGTTGCCAAGTGATGTGGCAGAAAGTTGCAAAGCTAGGGTTTTTTGCCTTTTTTTATTTGTACAATCAAATAATGGACACTAAAACAATGGCGGAGTACACACAATAATCTGAGGATCAAGGCCAGTCGTGATGCACCTCCGTGTTTGTGTGTGTGAGGTAGACAGGGAGCCAGTCAGTTCTGGGGTGAGGTGGTAATACTCAGTGACAAGGATAAACAGCACTGGGGTTTGCCTCTACCAAGAGAGGAGGTGAGGAGGAGGAGGACTGTGTCAGCCTCTCTCTTCTTCCTGCTCTCTCCTTGTCATTTTTTCAATTATCCCTCTCTCCCGTGTGTCCCCGTAGACCCAGAGGCAGAGCCTGCATCATTTAGACTGAGAGCCTGTTTAGATTCTGATTATAGCCTCCTTTCTTCTCACCACAGCTATCACATACACACAGACAAACACACACATGTGTACGGGGTACAGGCTGCACACTTTAGAGCCAGCATGAGGTGAATAACTGCATAACTAAATGTGTCTGCTTTCAAAGCTCAAGGGGGTTGTTGACTGTTGCTTTTTTGCTCAAATTGCCACATGGTTTGTGTGATACTCTGAATTTATGTGTCATACTCCTTGTGTCATGCTACTTAAATGAGATTTCCAAGGCTGAAAACCACCCTGTTTTTTTTTTATACGCTTATTTTTGTACATAGCAAGCATGTATTTTTATGTGTAACGGAAAGAAATGCGAAGCGTAAAAGTCAAAGTCCACTATGCTTGAGAAGATACAGATGTTTGTCCCGCAGCAGCACCGGGCCTGTTCATCCTGACTCTCAGGTGGTTTAACATCAAGTGGCAGTTCTTCCACCCATCCTGGGTTCTATCTGAAAGGGAAAGTGCGTGAAAGGCTTTCCCCGTTGTTAGAATGAAAAGTCATCAAGGAAGGACAGGAGCGAGGGATCGAGCCTCATTTAAATGCAAGTTACATTCCCCTATTTCTCCCTCTTCTCTCCACTGGGACCGCATGCCTTTCTCCTCCTTCTCCTTCCCATGTTTCGGGCACTCCCCGACTCCCTCTCTTCCTTTGTTAATCAGTTAAACTCCCTCTTCAAACAACCCCTCTAATTACTCCTCCACTCTGTAAACGACAGGGCTGTCTCCTGATTCTCCTTTCTTCCCTCCATCCCTCCCTCTCTCAGCTTCCTCCATCCATGGCAAGGGTTGACCCCTGTCAGCGACTGACCCTTCAGAAGTGTGCGTCTGCCAGTGTGCGCATGTATTCTGGGTCTACTCGTAACTGAATCTTGCATGTTAATGATGTGAGCAATGTCCCTTGTTTTTATTGTTTTTTTATTTTAGTTTTGCTATTATTAGTGTCTAGGCTTCACACTGGATTTGAACGTTCAGATGCATGTGTGTGTTTGCTCGCACAATTATTAAGTCAGACTCTTGGCCACACTTTCTCTTTCCAAAACCCTGTTTGGAAGGGATACTTTATATTTCTGCATGACATCCCACAGACATCTATTTATTTTCGAACCATTATTTCACATTTATTACCTCTCGCCTTCTCCCTTGCCTTTCTTCCACTATGTGTATGGTATTCCTCCTATCTTTTGCCTGCTTGCACCTACACTGAGGCGCCCCCAGCCTCACCTCTCGCTGCCTAATCTATCACCCATCTCTGTCTTTTAAATTAACATGCAACATGAAAGAAAAGAAGGACGACAGCAGGAAAAAAAATTAAATGCTTTTAATAAATGGCTGACTTCAAATCGCCCGGCTTTTCAGGCTCTCCCTATTCACAATCCAATGAAAGGGGAGAAATCATTCACCAGGAGAGACAAAGCCGAATGAAAATATAATTCTGCATTGTGAGGCGCTTTTGTCCTGGCCCGTCAAAACGCTAATGGTGAGGCTTTTGTTTTGCGGTAGGGCTCTGAGGCTGGCGGTGTCGTATGGCGGTGGCAACGCATGCCCCATAATCACCACGCTTTGTGATATTAGATTATAGGGGCAATTAATGGCGTCAAACCTTAACTACTCAATATTCAGCCTGCCACATGCATGCACACACACACGCACACACACACATGCACACCCACCTACTGAAGAGCGTATCTGTAACCGTGCACATGCACACACACGTGGCTCTGGCGTCAGAATTGTCAGCCGACACATAGAAAGGTGCTATAACTCCAGTAATTATTACGCCTGTGACTTGAAAACGGCGATGGCCGTGTGTATAAAATAGAATGTATGAGTTGTCAGGGAGGAAGAATGGGATGCACAAGAGCAATTAATTACAGCTTTTCATTTGGAAAGCTTAGACTGACAAGGCCCAGTGGCGGGGGCAAGCTGGCATGACGCCAAGCGGCACCCATCACCACCCCCATCTTACTCACTATTCCACCTCCCGCTAATCTTCCTTGCCTGTTCCTTTACCAACTGCCACAACATCAACCTGCCCCTCACTCATTCCACTCTGACTCAATGTCTTTTTACATCTGCTCCTCCTGCTTCGCTTCAAATTCATACCCTTACGCTATAGCACATTTACCCACGCATCACACTGCATTGATCTTTTTCTGCTCCGCACTTGACCGCTAAGTGTCCATACTTAGCAATTTCTCCATCTCCACGTCGTATTTTACGGATGGACAGATCCAGAGAACAAGTCAGGAAGAGGATGTTATTATCTATCTAATTTTGTTAACAGGGCCTAACACTCTTCAGATGATCCTGGTTTTTTGTCAATATGAAGGAAGTGATAGAGGAAGCATAATTCAAATCAATCTCAACCCTCTGCCTAAGTATCTTTATGTCTTGTCTTTTTTTATCCCTCTTAATACATGTATTTTTTAATTGCTTTTGCTCCCGAAGCCAATAAATACAAAACTGCTTTGTCAGCAGGATTGGTGGTGTGGTTTTTCATGTATTGTGTCTGCATTAGCACTCTCGGTTTCAAATGTATGTGGTAGTTTTTTTTCCTAGTTGCTGTGTTTATCAGATTAAAACAGTGCACATCTCTGCACCCTGCATCAACATTAAAAGTGTTTGCACAACACATCTGCAAAAATCACAACTCAGTCCTCTCTCTCTGTCTGCTTGCCGCTTTATCTGATGAGATATCCCTTTATCTGATGAGATATCCATCTCATCAGATATCCACTTTGTTGTTCCTTTCTTCTTCGTCGGGCCTGGCAGTGATGAGAGAGAATCACAGCCCGTCGTAATCATGTGTTTATAAAGCCTGATAAGATTTTATATTTCACTGGGAGATTAAATATCTGTCCTTTTATCTCAGACTGCTGCCACAGAAATTGACGTTTCTTAACAGTGCCAGCTTTGTGCGGGGAAGTGTCAACAATATGACTGTTTTACTGCATCTCCATTTATCTTTATCTGATGTTGCCAGCTTTTCTTAACAGTGACTGACAAAAGAGAATAGGAGACAATCCACCTCCCTAACTTACCTGTCACTGCCAGCATACTGTAGAGCCTCAGTGTGGATTGTTTGTTTTGAGTTAAGCGTTCATTTGCAGGCACAGTCATGCTTGTGGAGCTGGCTTGGTCTTTTTTTCACACAAAGCTTCCTCCACTGACTGACGAGTTTTGCATGTTGATATCCGAAAGTGTCATGATGTTAAAAGAGTGTGTGTGTGTGTGTTCTTGCTCTGTGTTCAGGTACCTGTGTCCATGGCTATGATGAGTCCACAGATGATCACTCCTCAGCAGATGCAACAGATCCTCTCCCCCCCTCAGCTCCAGGCCCTGCTGCAACAACAGCAAGCTCTAATGTTACAGCAGGTAAAGCGCACGCTTTGTGTTTGGACATGTTCCAAAGCTGACATGCCGGAGAATGTGACTGTTTTAGTAGGTGATGACACACACTGGGACTATAGCTCAGTCATTGCTCAAGGATCTTTGAAGTCGTGCGCACAGTTGTCCAACTTTTCATGTCCGCATTATACAATGCGATTTTTGGCCGCCTCATCTTTAGCATCGTTGTTTGGAGCGTGTGCATGCATATCTCTGCACGTAAGCACAGCTGCACACATAGATGCTTTATAGCGTTAGCCAGTGAATCAAAGTGAATCAGTATGTGTTGATACACGGTCCTTGATAGGAGGGCTGTCATGTTGACACAAACCAATGAACACGTTTCATCTTTAATAGATTTGTCAAATACTTTGCTACGCCAACCCTTCACCTTCTACATACAAAAGGAAAGCACACCGTGCTGTCTTGTAAAGGCTGTGAGTATGCCTGTTAACAATGTAGGGATAGAGAAGTAATTGCATAGTAAAAGATGTCTAGAAAACACGTAGTACATACACACTCAGGCTAAGAAGAGCATATTGTAGATTTAATAAGATGTGGTAGCTTAAGGCAAGTATAAATTGCAGTGGGGAGATCTGACAACATGTATCATAATGGAAATGTGAAATGTGCAGGCTTTCTAGAAACAGACATGCAGATGGCTAGGAACCTCTTCACCAGCTCTTTTTTCCTGTAACGAGGAAAAAGGAGACAGAGGGAAAGGGGTTGATAATGCACTCTCACTCACTGCACCGCTAATAAAAACCACTGAGTTTAACATTGCTCTCCCACTTAATTAAACACTGTATGGGCTACACACTTAGTGTATATCAGCAAATCAGGCACTTTTACACACACACACACACACACACACACACACACACACACACACACACA